AAGCAGAATAAAAAAATGTATGTTTCCTTACAATTGGGAATGTAGAAAAATTCCCAAATTTCACTATGAAATATCAACTTAAAATGTTTGTTCTTAGTTGATTAAAGGGCAATGGATTTATTCTGAATTTGCCATACTCAGAGAGCTGACTATTCTACCTGCCATCTATCTATATGTATGTAACACATGCTAACAATGAAAACCCAATTCTAACTAGCCTGTCATGCCATGTTAACTATTTACAAATGAAATCTCTTATTCTATGTAATAGTGAAGTTTTTTTTTTAAAAAAGACCTAATACATTTCTTATATGTTGGAAATAGAGTAAAATTAATGATCACGGGGGCTGGAGAGATGGCTCAGGGGTTAAGAGAACTGGCTGTTGTTGCAGAGGACGAGGGTTTACTTCCCAGCACCCATATGGCAAACAACTGTCCATAACTCCAGGGGAGCCAAAACACTCTTTTGACCTTTGCAGGCACTGCACGACATGGGTGCCCTTACATACATGCAAGCAATACACTCATATACATAAAATAAAAATAATAACATTTAAAAAATTAATGATCAGAACCTGTTAAAACCAGTCAAAGGAATGACAAGGGAAATCACACATACATTCTTTTAAAAGAAAAATAATGATAATTCAGGTAGAAGAGAATATATGTCTTAGCAGCAATGCCTATAAGACAGATCAATTTCTTTGGGCACAATAATGAAAGAAACAAGATGAGAGATTATAAAAGGCTTGAGAGCTCCACCTTAGGTCAGAAAACTTCTATCTTAATTATTCTGATCTCCTTAAGAAGTATGTAAAAATACTTATAAGTTCTGATCTGGTATAGAACTTTGGAGAAATGCTTCAATTTAGTAGAAATAAATGTAGCATTTGCATTAAGTTCCATCTAAGTGCTTTAAAACAGCTTATTTTCAAAGACAGTGTTTACATCAGCCTTTCTGGTTTTCCATCACAGAGATGATTGCATTCTATTATTCTGAAGGACAGGTATGATAAATATTGGAAGAGTATTTGAGATATGAAATTCTCAGTAGTTCACATTACATAGAAGACTTATACTCCTCACCTTTGTCCAAAATCAATATTAACTGTTAATACTTTATATGTAAACTGAAAAGGTAGCAACAAGGGAATGAATGAATAAAAACTCTTACCACTTGGTAATACCATCACAGGCTCTGTAAACCTTGGTTCCTCTGCTGATGGCAGGTTTAGGGAAATGACTAACACCATTCCCAGACTAGTTCCAACAAACAGACAAGGGGAGATGGTAGAGTCATTTTTCCGTGCAAAAGATTCCATGAAGTATAATGCTGTAACTGCTTCTTTAGAATCTTTGTCAATACTGGAGATGCTAGAGCTTCTAGAACGATTATAGGCATTTTCTCGGTTTTCTAAGGAAATTTAAAAAGCAAAAATTAAGTATTAGTGTATTTTTAAAACAAGTAAAGTCAGATTTAATACATGAAAACCTTAATTATGGGAGGAAGAGAAATTATTCTTTGTTAAGTGTCATGAAGGGAAGCTTATCCAGTTCACCAGTTAATTTCAAAGGTGGACGTTCTAGATTAATTTCAAAGGTGGATGTTCTAGTCATTAATTTAGGCAGAGTCAAGACTAGAATTTGAGTCTCCTGAGTTCCAGCTCACCATTTTCCTTCCCTGTATTTCCTGGAAGATCAGTTAAAATTCTTTAATCAGGAAAAAAACCTCTTAATCTAAATAGTGAAGTTGACAAAAGTTTCTGATGCCATTTAAATTGTGCTTCTTTTCCATCTTTTGATCACTGAAACCATTACGAATGATTTTTTGGAAATTTGCACTTACCAGCAATACTGTGGCTACTAATATGAAAGGAACAATTTTGATTACAAATAATCTGTGGCAAATATATTGTATAGCAGAAGCAATTCAAGCTATAAAAATTGAAGTTGTTTTTTTTTAAACCAAGTCCAAAATGCAACTGTTATGTATCTGAACTTGTTTCAAGTTGCCCACCTTCAATCCAGGTCTAGTTTAAACTTTGCCTAGGGTCAAGTAAGAAGTTATTGACTATGTCATCCTGTTAGTGCGGGCTTTTCTGAGAAGGCTTCTGCCCTCTTAAAGAAACAGTATAGTTTCAGGTGCTGATGCTCTATTAACACTGCAAATAGGCACCTTCCAACAAGCATAAATTCACCCATGTGTTAAATATTAATACGGTTGTGCTGCTTTTCTAACTGCTCCAGAGTACAACCACCTCATAGTTCTTTCTATCACATTTTCCTTCTGATAGATCGAAGTGTGTCTCATAATTATTTTTACAAAACAAGATTAAATATAGTTTCCTCAAAATATATAAGAACAAAACACAATATTCATAATTTCCCCTTCATGTCTTTTACCAAATTTATAAAAATAATTTATCATTAACTTTAGAGATAAGACAGAAGTTGGATTATCATCTATATATTTTACAAATTTAAAGACAGAGTTATAGTTAAACCATTTTTCTGAGAATTGAGCATAAACTACAGGCAGAAATATCTAAAACTCAGTATTTGCATCCTCCACTCCAATGATTATGCTCATTCCTTTGATCACCCTTACATGATATTTCTGTTACACGCCAAAATTAAACTCATGATTCATCACCATTTAATGTTGATACTCACAAATCCTGTTAGAAAGATAATATCATTATTTTGTGTATCTATGGGACCAGATTTAATATTGCATGATATTAAACAAAAACTGAACAATTTATTTATTTAAAATGTTTTTGAAGAACAGTAATAGATCATTATTTGAAAATTTAATGAATAGAATTATTATTTGTAAACCTCTCTAGTATTATAT